TTTCAGGTTCCCAGCAATTTTAATTTAAGTACTTGTACCAATTTATCCTCCCACCAACAGTGTGTGAGGTCTCCATTGTACCACATCCTTTTCAACACTTTGCTTTACTGTCAAACATTTAAATTTTTGCCAGTCTGGTGGACGTAATGTGATATCTCATTGTGGTTTTAATTTGCATTGCTCTGATAATGAATCACAACAAATTTGTATGTAAAACAAATTAAAATTTCCCTCTAAAACACTTGTTTCTAATTGGGTAGCAGTGACTTGATGTTGTTGAATTATGGTTAAACCACTTTTTGCTTATAATTATTTAAGAAAAGAACTATTTTTGGTTAGGTAGTCCAAGGAAAGGAAAGATTATGTTTTATTGCTTTTAAAACTAGGAATGTATGAACAGCATTTATTATGAAAAAGTACAGAGATTGATAATACTCAGAATCACACCCCAAACTTTCTATTTACTTTTATTCAAAAACCCCATTAAATATACATCTTCTTTAAAAATTGAGAGGAAGAAAATGAATAATTCTATTCAGATGCATGTATGCTTTTTAAAAAAATAGACTTTATTTGTTACAGAAGTTTTAGATTCATATCAAAATTGAGTAGAAGGTAAAAGATTTTTCACATAACCTCTGTCCCTGCCCTCCCCTGTTATTAACAAACATACCACCAAAGTGATATGTTTGTTACAACCCATGAACCTATATTGACACATCATGCTCACCCACATTAGGATTCACTGTTGGTGTTATATATTCTGAGTTAGCACAAATCTATAATGATATGTAATGTGTGTTTTTTATAATCTTTTGAATATTTTAAATCGTTCATGGAGCTTACAAGTCTCCTGAAAGAGATAATATTTCTCTACTGTTGTAAAAATTATTTCATATACATGAAAATATCAGAGAAGGCATTGGAGTTTGTGTCTTTCACATAATTCCTCATTTTGGAAACCACTTGATTGCCCTTTTATCTATTAGCTAATATATTTCTTCAAGGTTCTGATTTCCTCTTAATAAAAACACTTAGGTTTGCATGTTTTTCTTTTAGCTTGATTGTTATGCCTCACCCATGGCAACATTACATCAAGAAAGCTTATCCAATATTCTTATGTAATATATTTTTTTCTATGTTTTTAAGGTTTAGTTGATTTTGATTTCATTGTCTAATCACTTCAACCAATGGTGCTACTTGCACAAAATTAGCTTTCTTTTGAGTTTTCTCTAAGTATCTCTATCGTTTTTATTAAGGCTGTATGATATTTTCTTTGTATCCTCTCTTCTTGGGTACTAATCTATTTTTTGCTACCACAGATACTGATATTTTCAGAGGAAAATAGAAGTAAGATCAGGTATTTTATTAACATGTGCAACACATTTACGGACCGAAATTAACTCATCAATAGATTCTGTGATGGCCAAAAGTAATCATTGACATATTTGTTTTCTACTCATTCCATATCACCAAAAAGGTTCAAATATTCCTTCACAGCATTTTCAGCTGGGATGAAAAATGAAATTTCTAGAACCAGGCAGAAAAACAAACCAATAACACTTGATGGTCATGCCAATGCTAGTGGCATTTTCTAGCAAGTTGGGAAAATACTCAAAATAAACTTCAACTTTGAACCCCATGAATTCCATACGAATGCCATAAAGCCTAAAACAGACAAGGATTTTCATCTTTTCCAAAGCAGCTTCTAGAAAATCCAGACTCTAAATATATACAGAGTGTCTGTTGATGTAAAAAATACGCCTCTCTTTAGTATGACCAGATCATGATCCTAACTGTGACAGATATTAGGAAATTTATAATATATAATAAGTATTAAAGTATGTTAAGGTATAAAAATTTACAAAGTAATTTTACAAAGTAATTCAAAACTTTTTTTGATTTATATTTTAAAAGACTTGATTAAGAGATTGCTTTTAACTGAAGTTTTCTTAATGCTTTCAAATTTTCATATAAGGATCCCTATTGAGTTCATGGATATCCTTGACAGTAATTCAGAGATTATTGTTATAAGTAGCAGCAAATTGATTCATAGGAGCAAGTTTAAAAAAGCCCCTTGAATCACAGTATGAGCTACTGGAGATAAATAATTTGCAAGTGCCAAGTCGACATTTTTGAAGTTCTACAAGTCCAAATAGTACTGTGTAAATTCAAAGCAAAGTAAACTAGATTATAGCTATATCTTGCCTTCTACATTAGTTTGATTCTAAAAAGATGCATGTAAACCATGTTTATATATGTTAACTCTTGGTTTAGCAATGATGAATCTCATTTGTTAGTGATACCCTGTGCTTAAGAAGAGTTAAATCTCATTACTGACATGATCTAGCGTCTGGCTTCCTCTTTGCCAAGATGTGTGTCACTCTTCCATTGCATTGACTCCACTTTGATCATGTTGGCTGTTTTTCTGTACTTTGAACCAAGCCACATCATTCCCTTCTCAGAACCATTGACCAAGCCATCCTTTCTTCCAGAACAACCTTTCTCCTGAACACTTCAGGATATCCACCTCTTCCTAGTGCTAAGGTCTTGAACAACAGGGACCATCCTCCATGTTTGGGCCCCTTAAAGTCCTCATCCTTAAGAAATGAAGTCCAAGAACAAAGTTCTTGATTACTTTCAGATTAGCATGGTGGCAACCTAGATATGCCTGATACATCCCCTCCTAATATCCCATTAAAATGAAACATTTAAAATACATATGTTTATGATTAAAAAAAAAACACACTAGCATATACCTTTAAATTAAGTTCTATAAAATCCCATGACCCACTAATACTATTACCAATTCACAGGAATGTTCTCTTGTCATCCAGGGTCCTGCGATGATACACCAACCACTTGTGCTGCCACCTGTCAAAACTATGGATGGCCCTACTTCCAGGTATTGAATATGAATATATTACAAAAGAACATTCATGATCTAATGAAAGCAACATGTTGGATTTCCAATTAAGTTGAGGATAATATCATCATGTTAACAATCATAAGAAAGATTTCACAGAATGATGCATAACTCCAAGTAACTTCTGAATCAAGGAAAACTTTGAAAGTCAATCTAACAAAATACTGACAAAGATGACCTCTGGACATCTGTCAAACTTACAAAGTTGTTTCCTTGAAACCTTTGGGTATGGACTTATCTCCTATTTTTTGTTCCCTTGGCCAGAGCATTTAGTGTTAAAGTAATTTGAATGGATCTTACCAGATTTAGTAATATTAGTAATTTGGTAATATTAGCCACAAACATCACACACAAACACACACATATAAAAAATTATAATGTCTGTGGCTAATTTTATTATAATTGTATGTATATGTTTTTATATATGCATATGTAGAAAACAAATTATGTATAATGTATAAAATAATAGGGCTAGATTGCTCATTTGCACTCAATTCCTTTGCTCTGTAGAGTTCTTTGTTTTCTGATTCACAGTCACTATTATATTCTCATAAATGGTTGTAGAACTTTCCTGTAATTGGAACATAAGAGGCTAACATTTATAAATAAAGGAACAGGAAAATGGGGGGTGAGCTGAATTGAAGATTTAAGTTGATCTAGATACTATTTTTACAACCCCCTGGCAAAGTAGTTCAGTTTCAATCATGGACATTAATTTCAGGGGCTTTGGTGATTCCAAAAAGATTACTGTTACAGACGGATGTGTCTTTCTATTTATATTTAACATAATAGTTTCATATCAACTAAGAAATTAATTATGCAATTATTATTACACCTCACATCCCCTTTCCTGACAAAATTAAAGTAGATTTCCTGCCCTCATTTATTTTTAGACTGCAAAGTATTGAACAATTCCATCATACATCATCCTAATACACTGTGATAGCATTAATGAAAAGTAAAGGCTTTGGAATTATTTTATCTTAAATTCAAAACTGAGTGATCTAATTCCTTCTTCTAACTTTTAAATTCCCAAGTCATTCTGCTGGACCCAAAAATAGACCCTCTGTAATTAAGCTTTGTCTCACAGCATGTCTTTGGGAACTCATCATTGTTCCATCCTTATGTGTCAGCTTCCTTTGCTCAGATGACTCACTGTTCCTTAGAGCAAGGTTTGAATGCTCCAACTGCCTACTTCTATCTGACAGCTGGATTTTTCTTCCTGAACTATTTTCTGTGAAGTGGTGCCAGGTCAATTTTTATAAAGTCCCATATTTTGCTTATTGAAGACGTATAGGAAAGAGCATAAATGGAAGAAGATTCACTGACTAGGCAAAAACTGACTTTTGACTTCCACTCTCTGTGAGTACCAGTCGTCTTCATGTGGAAATTAAGAGGATTGCACAATATTTTTTCTAAGTGTCTTTCCAACTTATAAATTCTAACATATATTGGATAGTTTGAAGGAGATAAACTGGAAGTGGCTTGAAGATGAAAGGTTCAAATTTAAACTGCTTTCTCGTCATTAGACTGATTTCTGGCTTGTAGGGTATTGGTAAAATGCTTTGTGAGATGTTCATAGGCCTAATGGTGATTTTTAAAATTTCATTTCTAACAAGGACAGTTTAAGATGGATATGTATTTAAATTCTAGCAAGAAAAGGGTGGAAAATTATCTTTGGAGAGATTTAAAAATACAACTGAGAGTCAGAATTGCAGTTGGCTCTCATATTAGTTTGACTCATATGGTTTAATTTTAACCTAATAAAAGGAGCCCACACCTGAGACTTGAGAAAGGGACCTCCTTGCCTCAGCTCATCTACTGCTGCTGTGGGACAGAGGCGAATCTCCAAATTCTCCTGAACTTTCTAAATCTGTAAGATGAGCAGGTTAGACTGTGAGGCTTTCAGGTCCACTCCAGCTTTGAGATTCTGGATATTCTGACCATAACTACTCTGAATTAAAGACAGGAGCTGGAAATAAAATATCATCTCAAGTTCTTTGTAACAATAATGTGATTTGTAATAGCTCAGTTCCTCTACCTTTGGATGTTTTTGCATTGCTTTATTTACATAATCATTCAGTAGACTATGAAACTTGACAGAAGGAGAAGAGGTGAGAAAGAAAAAAATAAGGAGAATATCTCTGGCTAGAGTGAATTTTGGCAATAGAAGGATCTGTTTCTAATTATCACTAAAGTTCTATATTCTTACTGAAAGTTCTAATTCCAAGGGAGTAAAAATACTACTTTTTAAATTTATAATTATTTAATAGGCCCATTTTCACATTTAAATCTTAATCCAACTAAAACTTAATCTCAGGTAATAATTTTTTCCCAAACTGATAGACAGTTATAGCAATACTTTTTATCAAATAATTCATCCTTTCTATTACTGATTTGAAACATAATGAAATGGTGCTACTTACTAAATTATATTAACAAAATTATTTTGGATTCTATGGTCCATTTGTCTTGTTATTGTTTGTTATTTGTTTGGTTGAACTAAATTAGGTAAAATTATTTATTACCTGATGGCATTACATTTATATATTATTTGGGGGAACAATTAAGCATCTTTAAACATTTTAGTTTTGCATCTATTAATACAAATGTCTCTCTTCTTATTAAAAATCATTTTATGTCCATAAAATAATTACATATTTTCTTCAAAATGGCTCTCCACGCAGGAGTGCCTGGTTCTTGCAGATCGATTAAGACTTTCACGCAGAGCAGGATAGAAGTTTTCTCTATAAACAATATGAATAGTTCAGAGAATCAGGAGTGAGTCAATCAGAGAAGTTAGAACAGAGAAGTGAGAACTAAATTAAGGTAAATTTAGGGGAAAAATGTAGGTTTTCCATTAAACTAATGAAACTTAAACTCCAGGACTTTTACTTGAATAAGACCCTTTCTTAATTTTGTGTTTCTGATTTGGTGTTTTTCATTGTTGTTGTCGTTTTTGTTTTTTTAAACCGGACTCCTATAAGCATATGATTTTTCTCTAATCCAAGAGCATAGCATCTAAATCCCCAGTGACTTGGTTGCTATATCTCATCTGTTAAGAGGATGAGGGCAGACAAGAAACAAGGGGGGCACCGGTGTGTAGTATGAGAGACTGGCCCCTGAGGACTGGCCTGGTATGTAGCACATCTGTCCTGCAAGCTAAGCTTTTGACTTACGCATGTCATGTAAATAAATTGGAATTTGCTTGCCCCATCTGTAAAATAGGAGATTAAACTAAATCTGAAAAAAAAACCCGCACAAACAAAAAGTTGCTCTAAGTAAGCTCTAAGATCCTCCCTAATTCTAACTCTTCCTGATCACTTTGGCTCATGGTATTATCTCTGTCTCTGAGGTGCATTTCACATTCTTTTGTCCTTTAATTTGTCATGTCCACGTTTCTTGTCCCCAAGCTAAATTAAAGAAGCACCTCTGAAAAGCTAGTTTAAATCTCTTTGTAGTACACCTTAAAGTGCCTATAAACTCAATAAGTACATTTACAAATTGTATTAAAATGCTCCCCCCAAATTATATCCTTATTGTTTAAACTGTTTTATAGATCAGCTTCGTAATTGTTTTACCATCCCTTGAAAATTTTATACCACACTGTCTTATTACTCAGAGCTAAAAATAGGTAAACTAGGATACATAAGTATTCTTATAGACATAATTAATGACCTGTTACAAAAAGTAGATATAAAAATATATAACATAGATTTCTTAAATGCAATTTTTAAAGAGTCAAAAGATGCAATTTCCTAATAGAATGTCCAAAAAATACCTATTCTCATCTTGCTGTGTAATAAGCCATGTTTCCAATAAAAATCAAGCGGATGAAAATTATGGAATCGACAAAATGAGTTCAGTGCAACTGATGAGGAACATTTGCTATATATACTCATCATTTATGCTAACTTACATATCTCTCATGCAAAATAAAGCATGAACCTAAGTATCACACACCACCTCAATAACTCAGTACTTTTATTGATCCAGTGACCTGAGGGTCTCATCTTCAGTGCCAAAAATGTCTACTAATATTCCTTCTAATCTCAAAAACATTACTGTATTACTGTGCATCCTATAAATAATAGTATTCTTTATAAATATACTTCTCTGAAACCTAACTTTCAATCACTCTCTTAGTGCATAAAGTTGTCCTACTTTGTATTAATTCCTGAAATAGTCCTTTATTTGATCTTTTAAAAGTCCATACACATAAATTGCTTATAAACATAGTAGACCTGATTGGAGATTTTCATGTGAAAGATTCAGGAGGGATTCACATACTAGCATTGTACACAACTTCAAATCAAATGGTAGACATCACCATTTTTCTAATGTCACTTAGCTCTTCCAGTATCTATTTCCAGCCCCTCTCCATCTTTCTGGATCTACTCTCTTCTTCCTCTTTATCACTCATTTTCCTGCTTCCCTTCTAGGAGTGAAAACAATACATTTTCTGATCCTGATTTATGGAGAGGAGATGTTTTCTTCTTATGTGTGAGCAACTGCTAACATTTATGGCCATGTGGCTGCTCTATCGCATGGTATTTTTTATGTATTTTACCAGAAGAATCGTTTCTTCCATAATAGGAATTCTGGTGCCAATGTTAATGATAATAATCATTTAATATGTTATGATAATAATTTGTTAATAATGACAATTTTTCAATATTTAATTTAATAGGTAAAAATAAGTTGTCACTGAAGTTTAATGGGAACCATGTTGTATATAGTGTAGATACTATAAACTTTCCTACATTTATTTACTTATCATTTGTTCCTTTTCACATTTGCTTTACATTAAATTACAATTTGTCTTACTCATTTTTCTGACTACAGTGCCCAGCATAATAGTTCTCAAATGCAATGCATTTTTATTTTTGGTAGAATTGAATTTCTTCATTTAATATGTGTTACACTTTAGACAAGTGATCTGCAAACTGGGGTATGTGTACCCCCTAAGGAGTAGGCAG